TCATATACATATGGAACATGTGGCTCATAGGAGTGGAGACATGTGCTCCAAGTATATGCTGCATTATAGGTACGATAGGGTCACGGTTTAGAGAGGTCAGGAATGGACCTGACTTCGGTTGGAGAAGCTGGTGGAACTCGACCGTGTGCGGGAGCGTGTTGAGTTAGTTTTGGCTGATTTGGCAAGTCGGCAGAAGGCAAGCCTTCCTTTGGGAAGTAGATAGGTGTCTTAAAAGTAGGGAAAGTAGTAGCCGACAGTTTGGCCAAGTCTCGCACTTGGCGTAATTCTTCCCTCAAGATCTCGAGTTCTTGCTCCATGCGAGTCATTTTCCCTTTAGATTTTGGATGTCTGTCATGTTTCGAGAATCTTCGGGGTTCTCAATGGTATCATTATGTTTGAAGCAGCATTGAACTCGTCTTTATCAGTCATATTTCCTTTGGAAAGTGTGTATCGTCAGCCAGTTTGCAAGTCGACACAAATCAACGTACTTTTGGGGATGAAATGATGAAAAAGCAAAGAAAACAAAGAAAAAGGGAAACTATGTTAGTTTGGGAAATATTGAAAGATGTAACAAATATGTAAAAGTAACATATATATACGCTAATTTGGCGACATTCAAAATCGTCCTAATAGAGAACCTCTTTTTACCTGAGGTAGGCCTACGTTGCAATTAGTTTGATAATAAATTATCCATTTAAACACATTTTAGATTTGGAGCAAACATAACTTTATTGATTAAGGTAGTCTTGGATGTTAGATTGAGGTAGGTGATCAGAAGCCTATGAAATGAAAGTACGGGGATGGCCACAAGGCATACAAGAGGGATAGACCACATGGCATTTTGAGGAGCTTATGAAAGAGTTCAAAGAAGAAAGATGATCTATGGCCAGGTTGGAGCATTATCATCGTCATCGTCCCCATCATAATATGGCCCTGGGTGGTACTCTGGAGACTCTTCAAGGCTGTGCTCGGGTGACATGTCTATCACTCCTCCATCTCTTGGGTCATAGATGTTAGAACCTGTTTACAGAAACCTCCATGTGGTCTTCCTCCACCTCTTCTATGGGTCCTCTTTAGGATCCTCCTATGGGTCTTCTTCGGCGATCCTCTTCTGGGTTTTCTTCAAGGTCCTCTTCCGGGTCTTCTTCTGGATCCTCTTCCGGGACTTCTTCCTCTTCTTCTTCTTCTTCTTCAACCACCTGGATTAAATAATCAATGGATCCAGGAACATTCTGATTATACATGGGTGTGGTGAATCCCATGCGAGAAACAACTGATTCTCTAGCCCAATCAATCTGTTAGGTTATCTACAAACCCCCGATGCCCCTCGTACGCTTGGATGAGCCATATGGACTCACAACATTCAGCCAAGCATAATATTCCGGCGTACACCAACTTTTCTCTTCTATGTTAAATCAATCACGTATTCCCACTCGGCTTGCATATTTGTTATCCATTCTAGTGAGGACTAAAGTGAAAGCCTTTTCATGTGATCCCATGATCGACCATAGCGGAATGTCTTGGATAACTCCAAATTGTCGCATAACCCGAAAAGGTGCATATGGTTGAATGCCCCTCAACCCAATTATCTCGGTAAAGAAAAAATATTGAGTCCTTGGCAAACGTCAATCCTCTTATCCAAGAAAACTTCGGATGACATCTCCTATAATGTTGTTCAAGAATGTACGCCATTCTTCCCTTCCTGTCGGCGCGCCCACCCAATTTCGGAGACGATCTTTTTACATGCACCTATGTAGTAATCTATTTGTGGATCACGGCGATAGAAATGTTCCCTCGCCCAAATCTGTAACAGCATACTGCAACCCCCAAAGAAATCGTGCCCTCTAATGCAAGCTGTCATTGAACGAAGAACTTCGGCGATGATCACTGACAGTAAAGAAAATCTTTGCGGATTGTTAAAGATGCTTATAACCATCGACAATATGTTGATGTCGACAGAATGGGACCTTATCGAGAATACCATGATTCCCAAAAAACCATAATGAATACTCTTGGTCTCATATGCACCCATGCTTCGCGGGTACATAAAAATTTGTGTTGGTATTCATCGTAACCTTCTAGACGCCCAAACCTCTGAAAGAGATAATCTAACTCGACCTTTTCGTCGTCCACATATCTAAATGACCGAAATATATACAGATCCAGGAGATTTAGAAAATCACCTGTACTGATGGCTGATGGGATCATCAGCAACCTCCCTCTAATCGGTAGTTCGGTAAGACTACTGAACTTCTCTAGTGTATGAGTGATCTCAAATCTAAGAATTTGAAAGTTACGGTGCTCGGTTCCCAGAACCCCATTAGCTGAGTAACGAAGACTTTGTCGCATTGTGTCCCTAAAAGTGACAATAATGCTTCCAAGTGCCTTCGATTCTCAGCCCCGTGTATCCTGCAGATATTTTTGCCACCAATTATGTAGGATGTGTGGCGCTGAAACGACCATTTGGATATCCGGCAAGTGTTGGTTGAGGTTCATTTGAAAAGAGGGTAAAGGGTGTGATGAGTTTATTTGCTCCAAATCCGTAAAGTGTTTTCGTTTGGATAATTTATATCAATTTCACACAAAATGTATGTCGTCAAGTTTTAAAGAAGAAACTCATTGACATTTGGGTGGTTTCCTAAACACAACAACAATACCTCATATTATCTTGCCTAAGGCTATGCAACATAACCTATTTCTAGAGTAGGATTTTTTCCTAGATGATTGAGAGTGACACTGGTAATTGCGAGAGGGCGCACTAGCGTAATAGCACCAACTCTGAAACTAAGGAATCCCAAAGAGAGTTTCGGAGGAGTGCAGGAACACCCTTCGCGTGTTTAGTGTGTTTTGGGTACAACCAAAAACTCAATAGAAAGTGCAGATGATAGTGTAGGAAATCAGTAACAAGTAATGTTTTAGAACAAATAAGGAACACAAGCTTGAATTTCACTTGCGACCTTTCAGTCAAAGCGATATATCAATAATAAGTTGAAAAATAAACACGTAATCACAAATGTTGCTCCTAAATTTTTTACTAAGATTAAAACCATTGATTATTCCCCAGTAGAGTAGCCAAGCTATCGCACCCTAATTTCGAACTAGCCGAAACAGTTCACAACATAATATGGCTAACACTCTGATTTTTGAAAAAAATATTTGTTTTTTTCTTAAAGTCACCACCTAAATTTTAAGGCAAATATTAGGAAAACTATTTTTTAAATGTGTAAATGCAAACTCTGTTTTGATTTGCGAAACCAGTGAAATTCTGAGTAAGGGTTTTGCTTACTCGAGAGGGAGGTATTAAGCACCCTCAGAGCATATCCGAAAATAGTCCTTAAACTCAATTTAGGAAAATATAATTAGAAAAACTTATTTATTTATTTGCTTTAAAATCAATGGTAAGTAAATTTTATTAGTTAAAAAAAAATTAAAATACAAGGTACGGCATATATATGTCTATTAAATAAAATTAATAGTAGTATGTTTATCATACAGTAAAAAATAAATAAATAAATTTACTAAAAATGTATGACAATTTTATATGTTGAAAAATATAGATGTGTCTTATATAAATGTAAAATAAATGTTGAGTTTAAAGGGTATGAAAATTTGTTGTTTTATTTATATATAGAATTAAGACGTGAAAGAAAATAAAATAAAATGAGATAGTAATCAGGTGTCAATGTGTAGTAGTATGTGTGATGTATTATTTGAAAACGAAAAAAAATAATAATGATACTAAATGTCAAAATATTTTATAAAGTTTGTGATCTTAACTATATTTATTATGAAGTATAGTATATACATGTATGTTGTTTAAAAAAAAAATAAAAAAAAATAAAAATAAAATATATATATATATATATATGAACGTTTGTTATTTTATTTGTATGTAGGAAAAATAGTCAATAGAGTATAGTTAGTAAAATAATATGTACATCAAAGTGTAGGGATTTATAGTTTATAAAAAATAAATAACACTCGTAAGAGTGATAGTAGATAGGAGAAAAACTAAACATAATTAGTACCTTTATGTGCATGACATATATATGTATGTACCTTTTATTTTATTTTTGAACCTCTTGGCATATCTAAAATCTCGAAATAATTATGTTAAGAATTAAATATTTTGGCAATATTTGATTAAAAAAATAATGACAATAGCAGATATATTTTTCATAAAGGGGGGGGGGGGGGGGGGGGGGGAGGGTGACGTAAAGAATATAAAATAGGCCTAACTATTGGGACTTATTTTATATTTATTTTGTTGCTAAAATGTAAGGGTCTATTTCCCTACTTACTTTCTTAAGAAAATAAAATAAAATTCTAGAAGGTAATAACTTTTGCCTTGTGTATTTCTAAAGGTGGTTATTTTAACCTTTAAATTAGTTTCAAATTTATTTGGAAGTTTTAAATGATAAATTATCCTTAACATAAAGGCCTAAATGAGTGTTTGACAAGTAAAGCTATTAAATATTTTGGTCCTTTTAAAATAACGTTTCTTCTTCCTTTTGAAAGTAGTATTTTCAAGCACCTTTAGACTTGAACTACAGAACTTTTAAACTCTTTAAAGTATAGTGGTTAGATAAAAAATCTATATCTTTAGGTCCCAAAAATTGGTGTTTTAACTAAGAAAAAGAACTACATTTTTTTTACACTAAAATCTGCTCAATAAGGTTGTTAATAGGTGCAGTGTTTTAACTTACAAAACCAGCAATTTTCAAGTAAAAAAATCTGCACTTTTGTACCTAAAAAATCTGCATCAAAAACCCTCTGAACAAAGCGTTTTTTCGTTCTAAAAATACACATTTTTTGCACTAAAAATCTGCACGTTAAAAAGCTGCAATTTTTACCTCTTGAAATATGGAATTTTTCAAACTAAAACCTGCACTTTCAAACCTCAAAATATGCATCCATTAAGTTGCTAAAAAAATCGTTATCAACTCTTATTAAAACAAATCTTAAGTTGGATACATTCTTTTTTAAAGAAATGAAAAGAAGTCATTCCCAAATTAACTTTTCTTAAAGGCTAAGCTTTTACGACAAAAAAAGATATGAAAACTTCGTTAGAAAGCGTCGTCCTAAGCGAGTTGGTCATATCAAAAACCCAATATCTAGAGGGACGGGAAGGTTCAAGACTATATCTTACTATCTCTCTTGGTTTATTTGTACAAACCCAAACAAAATAAAAGCAAGCATAAATATATGTGAAATAGTCATGTGTAAAATGTTAGTCAAAAGATAACAACACATATACGATATAAAGAACGTGAAAATTTTGAAGCGAGAAGGAAGATTCGGACACTATTGACACAATAAGGCTGCTAGATGTGAGCTTATAATGTATCGATGAGCACAAATCTGATTTGGGACAGATGAATGGAGTCGTATCACAACTCAAAATGCGCTCACGAGTGTACATGTGAAATAAAAAAAAAGAAGAGGATTAGATAACACATGTTACCAGTTAAGTTACATGAGTACTAAGTAATCAAGGAGGATCCTCATGCTGAATTCCAATTGAAACAAACCAAGATCCAAAGATGAGATGGAAGGAAAATTACGCTAAGTACACTTAATGGAAAAGTTCGAGAGAATTGAACATTCCAAATTTAAACTAACTTAACTTACAACTTTGGGGGAAATAGAAGAATTCATGTCAAAATAGGCAAATATCATTCATGTTAACAGGTTACGGAAAAAAATATGTCTTTCAACATATGACATTTAAACATACACGCAAAATATGCCTGATAGGAATATGTAATTTTGTTCATAGAACCTATTCTATATGTTCAAATCTGGTCATCATAGATTGCAGTGACAGAGCGAGGAGTAATCTTGTAACGACCCACTAGGTCGTTTTGAGCACTAAGACTATTTTGACTCTTTTCATAAAATTTTAAATAGAAATTTGAACTATTCGGTAACTACGAGTGTATAGTTGATGAATATTTACTAAATAAATAATTAATGTAATTTTGTAGTTAATGGGCCAATTAGTAGTTAACTATTCGGTATTTTATGTTTGTCTTGGATATTTGAAGTTATATTGAGTGTATGAGTTAGAATTAATGGGAAGTTATTGGGTAATAATTAGTATGTAGTTTTTGGATTGGAAAAAAAGAGGAAAAGAAGTCAAGTTTTGGAGGTATTGACCACGTGATAGGTTCTGATGGGGGAAATGACATAATTTTTAGTAAGGAAAAATTATTCATTGGCAAAGTAAGACTATTACATAATTGGTTTATGTATATTTTCCGTTGTTAAGGTTACCGATTGTGAAATTATTGATTTTAATTTCAGAGTTTTGTGATGGTTATTAACTTATTACTTTATAATTGAAGTTTTAATAATTTGAGATAGTTACTTAAATATTAGGGCATTGTATTATATGAAACCATTAGTTTTATGATATTTGATAAATTGAGACATAATCTTAAGCTTAATTTATTAGGAATATGAGATTTGGATTATTTAGTTGGCACCAAGATTTATGAATTTAATTATAGATTAGGGGAGTTTTTTATTTAGGATAGATATATAATAATATGGGTGTCTACGAACTTGCCTGCTTACAAATAACGCATATTTGATAGATTAAGAACATTCTGAAGCTTTACGAAAGGGAAAAGCAAAATCTTGAGGATTCGTGACACGTGTTCGACATTCAAGGTATGTTAAGACTTCCTAGACTTCGTTGAGGGACGTTTTCTAATTAAATATTAAAAATGAAATAGACAATGGGTAAGGACAAAGGATGGGGGTCTCGTACCAGTGGTGTGAAGGCATTGGTACAAGTACCAATGTTATTAAAGGGGAAAGTTTATTACTATAATATGATAGATTAAAATTCGAGAATGCCAAAGCATATGGGCATTAGCTGATGTGTTTAGTGACTTGATTTCTTTTGTATGGTTGTGTTTCTTTATTAAACCTATATGTTTGTGATAATTTAGGTGATTATATATCATAGCGACATTTGATTTATTGAAATCTTCATCATCCCTTTTTATTGATATCATATTGTGCACATGCATTGACATGAGATTGAGTATGAGTAAAGGTCTAACACATGGAGATCGTCCGTGTTGAGATTGAGTATGATTATAATTTGGGCACGTGGAGATCGTATGTGCGAGTGATTGATTTTGATTATAAGTTGGGCACGTGTAGATCGTCTGTGCCGGGGATTGTTTGATTTTATAATAGTGCGTTGAGATCGTCCGCACAGACACGTGGAGATCATCCATGTCGGTATATGGACCTTGCGAGTCCCCCATGGGTCATGAACTCTCGATGTATTTCCGAGGAGTATCATGTATATACAGTTGGGAGAGTACTTGGCA